CTCAATTAAAAGACATAACGTGAATACAAATCAAAAACATAGTTCAAAAACTAAGAAACAATTTATTATAAATTATATTCGATAACAAAAGTACCTGTTTCGATAGACATTGGCAAGGTCACACTGAAATTCTGACAGCTATAATTTCACACTCACATTTCGCCTAATCACATTTACTTTTTAACTTGCCAGTCGAATTTGAGGAAACTACTACAACCAGAGCCAAAATGCCGGACGCAGTGCAGCAGAGTTTCGTGCGAAGCTTCATCGACTACCTGAAGAAGCAGGTGGACGTCATGTCGCCGGACCAGAGCGAAAGTATCGAGGTGGCGATCCAGTGCCTACAGGCGGCCTTTGACGTGGGCGATGTGGAGGCGGCGCAGGACGCCGCTGGCCAGGAGCAGGCCACCACACAGAGCAGCACATCGAGTGCACCAGGCGGCGATGCGCTGGCCAGCGGGAGCGCCGGCCTCGCCCCCAAAAACATCGACATGTTCGAGCTCTTCCAATCGCTGTATATCGAACGCAATCCGGAATCCCTGGCCCTGGCCGATTCCATCAAGAACGAGGGTAACCGGCTGATGAAGGAGTGCAAGTACAACGAGGCCCTGCTGCAGTACAATCGGGCCATCGCCTTCGATCCCAAGAACCCGATCTTCTACTGTAACCGGGCCGCGGCCCACATTCGACTGGGCGACAACGAGCGCGCCGTCACGGATTGCAAGTCCGCCCTGCTGTACAACAACAACTACAGCAAGGCGTACTGCCGTCTGGGCGTCGCGTACTCCAACATGGGTAAGTTTGCGGAGGCGGAGCAGGCTTACGGCAAGGCCATCGAGCTGGAACCAGAAAATCCGGACTACAGGAACAACCTGGAGGTGGCCAGGAACGCCAGGAATCAGCCACCGCAGCTGTCGCATCTCACAGACGGCCTGAACGCCATGTTGGCCAATCCCACGGTGAGGAATCTGTTCAGCAGCGCTGAGATCGACTTGGAGCAGCTGCAGTCGATGACCCAGAACCCGATGGTTATGAATACGATTGGTCAACTGTTCGCCAACATGGGCCAGCCAAATGCTGGTGGAGCCGCTCCCGGTGCCGGTGGCGCCCCTGGAGCTCCAGGCGGTGCTCCACCGCAGATCCCGGCCATGCCCAACGACATGCTGCAGCTGTTCCAGAGCTTCGCCAGTCAACTGGTGGGCGCCCAACAGCCTGGCGGTGGACCCAATCCCAATGCCAATCCTGGCAACGGACAACAGCCGGGAAATCAACCTCCGCCAAGCATCTAGTGGGCTGGCAATCCGAGCCAGAACCGGCGACAACACATACACACAGATTAAGTTTTTAAGCTGAAACTATAATTACTGTATTTTTAATGTTTAAAAGGCTTCTATTACGCATATACATATATATATATTTTTATTAATGGTAATAAATATATACATGCAAAACGCTGCGAGCCTTGCAAGTGCAATTTTTCACTGTTCTAATCAATTTTTCCATGGGATTACATAATACTCCATGTTACAGAAAAATTTCTACTGCTTAGGATAAGTCAAGTAAATATATTGATGAAATACAGCAGATATATTAGCAAGTTATACTGGCTTCGATCGGAAAACCACAACTTCATAGGTTCATTTCCATCTTATCAGTTTATTAGTAAAACACGTATTCGAGTGCTTGTATTTTAATGTTGCTTTTATTGAATTCAAGAAATGTATGCTTTTTTGTGTGATTTTTGCTGACTCGCATCTCTACGTGGTACAATTGTTGATTTGATTACATGTTAAATAAAAACTAATAGGTTAAAAACTTGATTTCAAACACTTTGTTTGAAAATCATTTTCTTCAAATCGGAAAACTAATTTTCATCCCGATTTGGAACTTTATAGATTTATATTGCAGAGTTCGTTCAACTGGTTATCGTTATAATCTTATATTTATGCAATTGACAGAATCGAAAGTGGAGCGTGATGTACAATCAAAACGATGCCAGCGCCCTTTGTTTCGGAAAACGTATGAGAAGAGGGCTTGGCAAGGGTTTGGAAAATTTCACGCAAATTGTGGAAAAGACATTTTTCACGAAAATAATAAAAGCAATGCGTGAGTGTATGAGAAGAATGATTGATCAATGTTGCATTTACTTTCCATGAGAATAAATTGCGCTGAAAAGAGACGAAAGGGAGAAAGTTAATGGGAAATTGGATGTCATACTCACCGTCAATCTCGGGGAAAATTAGATTCTCTTGTTTCCGTTTAATTGTATACTTGCTTGGTTGCAGCATCATTTAAGTTTTGTTTATTCTGCACGAATCCAATCTCTGGTAGTTTTTTTTTGTTATGTTTACGGACTAGGGACAAACCATTCAAGTGAAGTACTCGCTGCTGCTTTTCTGTTTCTCTAATTTGATTACTTAGTATTTGTTGAATCGCCGATTTCTGTAGCCTCCTCCTCCACCGCCGCCGCCTCCGCCGCCACCACCGCGTTGTCTCGTCCGATTGTTGTTGCCGTAGTTCTGATTCACCTTGTTTGAGTATTTTCCAGACGGTGGCGAGTAGAACTTCTGGTCGTTGGATGGTCGCGCCTTCTTCTCTGGCTCCTGATCCTTTTCCTTGCCGTTGGCAGCTGCTTTTTCTCCAAAAGTAATGGGTGCGTGGCGCTTGCCTAGCTTGTTCTTATAATTCAAAAGGATTCGCTTGTTAATATAAATTTCATAAAGGAAATTGGTACTAGATACATACATTTTTTGGCACAATCCAGGAGAGCACAATATCATGTTTGAATATTGGCGGTGAGTGGAATAGATCCCGTATCAGTACGTTGATATTCGATGTAGTCTTCAGTGCTGTCTGCTTTAATTGGTTCTCCTCTGTCTTTAACTCCTCCCCAGTCTTTCCCTTCAACGCCTCCTCCAGCTTCTTAATATAACTGAAAGGTAAATAACGAAATAAATTATGTGATCAGCGATTTGTTTTCTTTAGACCTACCCCTGTGTTCCCCTGGCTAGATATTGCAATCTGGCTCGAAAGTCCTTTAACTTCTCCGCATCCTCGACGAAACTTAAACTATTTGGATGATTCTTTCCCAGCGTGTGTAGAGCGTACAGTAAGCACTCGGCGTGCGAGAACTGAAACGATGGCGGTGTATCTCCCAGATCCTCATCGCTCAACTTGGGCAAAGGCATGTATTCCTGAATAAATCAAGACTTCGTTAATATTTAGTTTGTTCGGATTATTTGCGAGGTAAACTCACCAGTAATACATGGTAGACTGCATTAATGCGTTCGCTGGCATTGTCCAGCTTGTCTGTGTAGGTTATCATCTCGGCGAATACCTTCAGTAGTCTGAGTTGAATTTGATCTTGCGACACTGCAGTGGCGATCATGTTCCAGGTCTTGATGGGCAGCAGTTTATCGCAAACATGGGCCACAAAGGCCGTTGATTTTATGGTTTTCTATATAAATAGTAGAGATTAGATTGGCAAGTTCGCAAAAAGTATCAAATTGATCGCGGGGTTTTAAGAACTTACCGAAAAATAAGGCGCCGCTGCAGTGGCACACTGTATAAATCGTTCCACGACCTCATCATCTACGGCAATGATGTCTGTGTCTGTGTTATTGAGCTCCGCTTGTTCCGTGGCCAGCTTGACGAGTTCGGCGTGTCCGGTAATGGTGCTGCCTAGTTTGGTGGCGCCCAGGATTGTCATGCATAGATGAAACTCGTCAGCAGTGACGTCCTGCAGGGCCTTCTTGATCTCCTCTACAATGTAATCCTCGATTTCCTTGGTCAAGACAGTTGGGCCCATGGTCAGCAGCTTGGTGGCAATGAATTTGAGGCATCGCTCCCTTGTCGTCTCATCCCCGGTGGTGATCTGTTGGAACAATCCGGTGACGGCGCTCTTGGTGTCCAGTTTAATGACGGCCAGGAGCGAGTTGTTGACCTGCTGCAGTTCAGTGGCATCGTCGAGGATCAGCAGCTGGGCCAGAGTGTCGCCCACTCGGATGGTGGCGTCAGCGTTTCCCTGACACAGTTTCGGCAGATCCTTGATGGCCTGGCGGCGGATCTGAATGAAAGATAGGTTGTTAGTTTAAGTGGTACTTCAAAAAGAAAGAGCGTAATAAGGTATCATATTGCTAGTAAGGTTGATAAGAATGTTATTTTAACTAGAAACCTGAGTTAGTATACCATATGATACCATACTAATCCTAAGACAGCTCCTCTATCATACCACTTTTGATTATCGTTTTTTAAGAGTTTAAAGGCTAAGTGGAGATATGGAAGGCATACACATCTATTATCACAAACCCATTATATCATCTTGTTAACTTCAAAGGTTTATTAGGGATCCACCCACCTGTGTGTCGTCATCCTCGCACAAATCGAACTGTGCATCGATGGCTGTGTCAGCCAAGTCCGGAAAATGTTTGAAGAAGTTCCCGATGAATTGCGATGCCAAGCGTTTCTCCTTCGAAGAGCCCTTTACGGCCTTAAGTATCTCCTTATATTCTTCCACATGCTGCAAGACCATATAATATATATCATATACCGTTTTTGCGGCACGTTTTGCAATGGCGGCTTACCTCGGATATTTTATCGCCCGCCTCGGACAGAATTTCGTAGCATTTGTACAATCGCTCTATGTTGTCCATCTTCTTAACCGATAGTCTCTGTAGTTGCAGTGTTTTGAAGCGTCTCCAGTCTGTTTTAATACTTTTTTATTTTAGTTAAAGTGAGCGACAGCGTTTTCCCTTTATTTTTCACGTTGCAAACAAAATGGTGAGCGGGTAGTGTGACCGTACCTGATGAGAGCCAAATTCCACCTTCTGTCAAAACAATCGATAGTCTATCGGTACATTAATTTTGAAAAATGTATTTTTCGAACTTCTTTTCTTGTTTAATTAATATTTAAAAATATTAACATATTTAATTTTTAAAAATAATTTTACCTTGTTTTGTTATCCAAATTTTATAAATTTTGTTTCCAACAATGTTTGACATTTATTGGGAGCGCTAGTATTTATTTATAAATTAAATCAAACTTTTATATAGTTCTAGTTAGTTAATACAATTAACATTTATGGAATTGCCTTCAAGGCCTGTTCAAAATACTCCACCATCATGGGGTAAACTTCGTCGTATTGCTGAATGTTCTTGCGCCTGGCATTGTCCCGGTACCGCTGCAGTGCACCCGAAATCAGCTCCAGTTTCTCCCGCTCCGCCGTGTGTCCATCCAGCCATTCAATTAGTCGTTCATTAGACCAGTTGGCCGTGGTATGTGGCGACTGAAGATCCGCTCCAGCGTGTCCAAAGAGTAGCAGCAACACTATATAACTGGGTACCAGGGAGTCCTCCCCGATTGTCTGCTTCACTAGCTCCTGCGCCGTTTGGACAATCAACAGGGACATAGCTCTTAGCAGGCGAGAAGGCTTGCCAAGCTCGGCGAGATTGGGACAAAGGGGCTTCAAAGCCTGCTCCATGTGCTGGCAGTCCTGCTTCAAGCGCTGTCTTCCCGCCGCACTCAAGGGACGCAAGATGCACACGTTGTGCAGGAACAGCTCAATGCATCGCTTGGCTAGCTCGTGGCCACACTTTGTGGTCATCTGCTTGTCATCGAACAGCGCTATGTGATGGGACCAGGAACGGTTGACGAATTCCTGGGAGATTATAGAGTTTGTAACAATCAATATTACAAAATTTTGAGATCCAACCCACCTGCAGTTCCTTCATGTACATCGATGGACCCGTGGTGGACAGCCTCTCCGTATTCAATCCCGGCTCTCTGTGCATACTCAGTATGATGATGCTTATAGTTGTTATAATCGACTCCATGATCTGCTGCAGAATGGTGCCAATGAGCAGATCAGCCTGCTCCAGAGAGCGCAATATGGTTTCCCTGGCTGATCCCGGGGTCTTCTCAAACTGAACTTGAAGATCGCTTAGCATACGACGCACTGAATCCTTGTAGTAGTACAGAACATTCGCCAATTGTGTGTTTTGTTGCTGCTGCAGATTTGGTAGATCCACAACTTGCTTGGAATCAGCTCCCAGCTTGATTTCAGCCTCTAGTTTTGTGCACAACTCCTTTCCGCATGCTACGAAAACATTCGCTATGGAATTTGTGAGACGGGAATCGATCAAAGCAGCACTCAGCTCTGTGGAAGCTACCCTAATAAAATTGTCCACTGTTTCGTTGCCTGGTAAATCCACTCCCGCCAAACAGGCCTTAAAGTTGGCAGCACACTTGCTAACGTAACCCACTTCCAGAGGAGCGAATAGTTCGTTGTCGAACTGGAACTCGCCATTCAGACGCTGCTCCAAGCCACGAGCGGAGGTAAGCAGCTTGGAGAGTCCTTCCTGAAGGGTCTGGGTAACATGCTGAGAGCATTCATCGAAGGATTTACGCAGGAGCTGCTGAACCTGCTTCCAAAACCGCTGCGGAATGCACTGATCCGAGGTCTCTGAAGTGTATCCAAACTGGTTAATCTGCTCCAGAGCCGTCTTAAGCAGCTTGATTTGCGTGCAGGTCTCAAAGAGTTCGTCGTAGAGCAGCCAGTGCAGAGATTTCCAGAACTTGGCCCGGAAGTTCTGGGTGGTAGTCAGCTGAGGAGTTTTCCCCGGTCCCCTCGAGGGAGCTGGTTTGCTAGCGTTATGCGTGGGCGATTTATTCAGCACGGATATGTCGGTGCCGGCAAAACACTCCTTGAGGGATTGCTCCATGTCAGCAATAAAGGTGGCCAGCAGGTTTTCCAGGGATTTCTCCAGTGTATTGAAGTTCATGAAGATCTGTGGGGATAGGTATTAGGTAATGCAAGCTATTTATATGCTGTCTAAACCCACCTTCAAAGCATTAACCACTTGGTTTTGATTGCGCTCCTGCAGGCCAGTTACCAACTGCATCTGAGTGAGGTTCCTAATCTTCTGACCCGAACTGATCACATAGGCGCGCTCCTGCTGAATGAACTCCAGGTCCTTGAGCTCTTTGTCCTCGATTAGTTGACCCAGTTCGAAATGCAGTTCCGCCTGGCGAAGGACATCCTTAGTGCCCTTTAACTTGGCAGTGAGGGTCAGAAGTGTTCCTGCCGAGCGAAGGAGGTGACTGACATCGTGCAGGCGACCGAGCACCTGCGTCTGGTTTTCCACCTGCTGGTACTGCGTGTCCACCTGGCTCTTCAGGCGGTGTCCCGTCTCCCTGACCCGCTGCACATCCTCAGCCAGCGCATTTAGGGCCGCATCGAATCGACCTGCGTGGGTGGCCTGCTGCAGCAGAGCTCCATGTTTATCCCGCACCTGCTGGTGCAGCTCCTCCTTGGTGTTTTGCAGTTGTTTCGACAACTCCTGGATCTGCTGACCAATGGTTAAGTGCGACATCGAAGCGGTGTAGTCGTCATCATCTGAACCCGCCGTCTTAGTGTTTGGGGGCTTGGTAGCGCCCGGATCACCAGTGACCATGGTGGAGGATGCCTTTATCTATGGTATGACCAATTAGATAAGTTTATAACACTCTTACTTATGTTAAATCAGGTACTTTTATTTTATTACTAACAATTGTTTTTCCACGCAACCAAAAGCGGTTTTTAATCGATAACAGTGCAAGGGTGTAGACCAAAACTTATTTAGGGGGGTTATTTTAAAATACTTTGTTCGATTGTTTTAAATTTGTTTGATTGTTAAAAATTATCACAAGTTCATATTTTAGAGCAATTCTTTCAAAAAAATTAAACCGGTTTTCCGAGAATGAAAAAGAATTTTCTCTACATATGCTGTACATCTAAAAACAATATAATCTTTATAATCTAACTTCACAAAACGTAAACAATTGCTTTTTAAATATTTTCAGTATTATATATTACAAAAATTGATATATATTTATTTTAAGTTTGAGGTACAATATAATATTGTAACCCCCAAAACCACGCCCTTGTGATGTGCATTATCAATAACTTGAGTCAGCTGTTGCTTAGTTTGTTTTGTGTAAATAATTTGATGCGGAGAAAAAACTTAATTTTATTGTTATAAGTCCTCTGCTTTCACACCTGCACACATTTTCCATGTCGGACGACATCAAGAAGTATTTAGACGGCCTGCTGCAAAAGTACATACTGCCTTTGAAAAAGAGTTTCGTTTCCGATTTAATAAACTTATCTTTTTTTCCTCAAAGGGTCAGCGGCCTGTACGTGATTCAGATTACGGATCGCGACGGAGTGCCCCTCCTGCGGGTCAGCCAGGAGAAGAACGTGGACTTCGCCCTGATGCCCTCGTTCATACCCACATTCACCACCGCCTGCGACCAGGCGAGCAAACTGGGTCTGGGCAGGAACAAGACCATCATCTCCATGTACTCCAACTATCAGGTGGTCCAGATGAACAAGCTTCCGCTCATCCTGACCTTTGTGGGCGCGGAGAATTGCAATACAGGCCACATTCTGGCCCTGGAGCACCAGGTCGATGGCTATTTGGAGGACATAAAGCTCGCTGTCACCGAGGCCTAGAATTAATCTACACTGTAAATTCATATATTCTTAAATTACTAAATGTTTATACTTTATTGAAACCGAATTTTGTTGGGAATTCCGAAAATACATTTTTCGGTGGAAATCTGTATAAATTTCATCGACAGATTCGTGCCTCTAGGGATTTTTTTATACCCAGAAATTGATCTCTAAAAGATTAAAAATAACTGGTTTACAAGAAATGTTCATACTTTATTCAAAATGCAAATTTTGTATTTAGTTCCTTATTTTATATTATGTATTTCGTGGGCTCAAAATGATTGGGTTTTATTTAACTAAGTTCTTGTCCTACCATTTCCTCTAAATCTCTTTTCTACTAAAATTTCAAACCTAATTGTGCTCAACACAGAATGAATCCAAAGGGTTTACATGATACTTTTCTAAAATACATCCAAAAGCCCCTAACCGCTCCAACAAACAATTATCATTGTGCGCAACTATGGTTTTTCAAAAATACTAGGTGTTTACACTTTATTAAGAATGAAACTTGATGTACTTTTTGCTTAAATGCATACACTGAATTAATTTGCTACAATTCTTGATTTTCCTGCTGCAGTTTGGGAATGATCTCGACAAAATGAATATCTTTCTTTAAAACTAAAATACAATCCCCAAATCTCTAATCTTCGTATGCCAAGCACACACACATCTCTTCGGCTCCTTCTTGATTGCTGATATTTTCAGAGTTCGTCGTGCAGTTTCTCCGAATCCGCCTGGAAAGCTTCGCTGTCGCAGGCAGCGGGTGTCTCGAATTCAAAGTAATATTCACAGCGATTGGGTTCGCTGACGGCAGTGATCTTGGGTTCCAGAGCACATCTGATGTTGATAATGGCCGAACGATTTGGACCATTCCAGCAGGAGGCTCCGTTGGCGTACTTCTGCTGCGTATACTTCTTGGGCTCGCCAATCCAATTTTCCCAGCGTCCCAGCGTAGTTTCGGGTCCTCCACTTCTCGACTTCTGAGAAGCGCGATCGAAGGGGCACAGAGTGTAGACATACTCCCGATCCTCGAAGTTGTAGCACTGGCCATCGTGAACGGCCCACTCCTCGGTCTGGCCGTAACCCTTGTTGTTCTGATCATCAATCTCCCTAACCTCCTGTTCGATCTCGCGCAGGCTGCGTTCCACTTCTTCAAGGGCATTTCGTGCCTCGTTGGCCTGCTGGATCAAGCGCTGGGTCTCCGGATCGTAGTTTGGTGGCGTAACATCCTCCACATCAGGGGAAGCCTCGCCCACGCCCACATCGGGTTCCTCGTCATCGTACTGATCCTCCTCGCCCTCTTCGTCGGCTTCAATATCTTCATCACCGGCCAATTCAGCTTGTTCTGGAAGAATGTAAAAAGGATTACAATTTGGCAAGCCACAGTATTAAACATTTAAACATAGACAACATATGGCAATGTAGAGTTTAAAATGTACTTCTAGTTTAACATATGGACAACAAAACGGTCCATAGTTTTTTAAAGGAATTAAACATAATAATCGAATAGCCCTCATTAAAATCAGTTAAGCTCAATGCACGAAAGCAAAATTAACAGATACATTCAATTTTTATCCAGATAATTTTACAACCGACATATAAAACGTCACTGACGTTAAATAAAATATTGACTCAACTGGAGTGTGGACAAAGAAAGTATCTGCTTAATATAGCAATACACTAGGCATGGTTTCAAAATATGAAATATTCAAAGCCTTTTCTTACCTTCACTTGGCTTTGGGGGTGTGGGCTGAATAGCTTCGGTGGTGACCTCCGCCTGCTCGGTTTCAGGTTTTGGAGGATGCGGCGGATGGAACAGACCCTCGGCCAGCATTGCCAGAGGCTTAATCCTGGGCCAGGCTAGAGTGACAAACGCATCCAAATCCACTCGTTCTCGCTCATCCAGGAAGAACTTGGCCTCCTCCACAGTGACTACGCCGTTGCGATCCCTGTCCAGATTCATGTCGACCATCAGTTCGGTGACCTCTACGAAGCCATCCTTGTTTGTGTCGTAGCGCACAAAGCTGAGGGAGGCCTCTTGACGCGTATGTTGTGGCTCCTGCTCCGCCTGAGCGGTCTCCGCTTCTACTTCCCGCTGCTGTTCCTTGTAGATTTCAATGGCCTCTGATTCCAGAGCCTCAGCGGTCTTTTTTAGTTGCTCCTTTTCGGAGCGCAACAGCTCTTGTTCCTTGCGGCGTTGCTCCAGCTCAAGTCGGCGAGCCTCCCGTTCCGCCCTCAGCTGCTTGCCGCGGGTGATCATCTCCAGACGCCGCTCGGCTCCTCGTTTGTGCAGCTCCGCTTCGTTGCGCCTCTGAACAGCAGCAGCTGCTCCGAGCTCCAGGCAGGTGTTGGGGCAACCAACCACCTGTGCCTCATCGCTGCCGTCGCAACAGTCACAGATTCCGTCCTGCACCTGGGAGCTGGGTATGTCCACGGACTGGTGGCCCTTGTTCAGACAATGGAACTGGCCCTTTGGACAGGCTGAGGTGCCCGGCTCATCGCTTCCGTCCGCACAGTCGCAGTAGTCATCGTTGACCTGGGAGAAGGGTATGCTCCGGCTGCCATCCAAACAGGTCCAACTGTTGTCGCCCGCCCGCGGTTGGTACAGTGAAGCCTTGGCCAATGAGACGCCCAGAGGACGTGGAACCTCGGTGGCAGCACCTGCGTTCAGGTTGAGCAGGGCCACCAGCAGGGCTATTAGCACCATTTGACTGACTCCCAAGCCTTGCATTCTGGCGGTGGTTATTGCTACTCCTAATTAATCTCCTAATTTGAGTTGGTCGCCGTGTGCTGTAAATCTTACGTGGAATTTGCTATGGTTTTTACGAGTCGTAAAATGCCGGTGCAGCACTATCGATGACAGTGAAGACAACTATCGATTACAGCAGACAGGGGTGTGCGAAATAAATGATAAGGGGGCTTAAATTAATTAACCAAAGCTTTCGGACTACAGTAAATCCTTGAAGGAGTTATTTAATAACACTATAGGCAAAAAAATATACAATATTCAACAACTTACAAGCTTTCGACTTTAATTATTCAGTAAAATTTATTTGTGGGAGTTGATAGCCCGCCAAGCCCCCTACCGCGCCACTGACTGTTCAACGATGTGGCAACTCCGCTCAATCAGCTGCCGGTTCTGTTTGTTATTCAACCAAAGTGGAGGAGCAAAAAACCCATAAAACAATGGAATTTCTGACAAAAGTGTGGGCCAAGGAGGCAGTAGCTCCCGTGGAAATAGAAGCATCCACCGGCACAGCGCAGAAAAAACCCAGTCCACAGCCAGATAAAGCACCTGCAAGTAAAGAATCCTCTGAGGAAACGACCACCGCTCAAAAGGATTGGGGTTATGACCTATATCCAGAGCGAAGGGGTGAAACCTTCAAGCCCAAATGGACGCGGGTTCTGTTCGGAATGGAGGGCCAGGAGAACATTGATCGCTTCAAGTGCGAGGAGAATGTCTATTGGTGTGTCAAGAACGGTCCCCTAGTGAAACTTATGATGGGAGCCCTGAAGAGCTCCGGTTGTCCCATCGATTTGCGGCGCCACATCTCCTGCGAGGTGTGCGATCCATCGGTCACCGGCGGCTACGATCCTAAGCTCAACCAGATTGTGGTGTGCCAGAATATGGCCAAGAACAAGAGCATGGTCCATGGAGTGCTCACCCACGAGATGATTCACATGTTCGACTACTGCAATAACGATATGGACTTCCGAAACGTGGACCACCTTGCCTGCACGGAGATCAGGGCGGCGAACCTGGCACATTGCTCCTTTTTGAGCGCCATGTTCCAAGGAGACGCCTCGCCATTCAATGTCAAGGAAGCGCATCAGGTGGGTGATAAAAATTTTGCTTGTTAGCTCTTCAAAAATACTTATGAAAGACATTTAGGCCAATCTGTGCAATAATACATTTGTCGTTCTTCTTTGCTATGATCTCTTTTTCTAATCCTTTAAAAACTGAATAATTCACGAGAAATCTAAATAAATACTTTTATGTATACAAAATATATTATAATTGTTACAGATAAGCTTATTATTATATTTTTGAACTTTGTCTTATAGCGTGTTTTTTAAGATTATTTGGAATTTAAGAAGCTAAATCTACCTTATTGACTACTATTCCAGAACTGTGTCAAGTCCAAAGCCCTGGCTTCTGTCCTGGCTGTGCGGAATATAACCAAAGCAGATGCCATCGCTGCTGTGGAACGAGTTTTCCCCAAATGCTATGCCGATCTGGAGCCCATTGGTCGGCGAATCCGACGCAACTCCACGGACCAGCAGAAGGCCTACATGGAGGCACCCATGTACGGCTATGATGTATATTAAATTGTTGTATATGATTTCGTTTTTAAGTACCTACACAAAAATGTTGAATAAAACTATGTTTTAAGCCATGGACATTTTTAATGTCACGCTGCCAGACAGTTTTATATTTAAAACTAAATGGTTTGTTATTAATTAAATTATGTACGATTAACCATGAAATGTTCCAAGTTCAGAGGATAAATTACATTAATGAATCCAAATCCACAAAAAAAGTTGTGTATAAAACCGTCGATCAGAACTATTGTATTCAGTACACGTTCGAAAAACAAAAGAACCAAAACCATGGAGGATTGTGAAATACTTGGAATGATATTCGAAATCATTAGCGATATGCTGTTTGGCAGTAAGTTGGAGGATATAGGAGAAGTGGAGCTGGACAAGTAAAATAAGCAAAATCCACGTTTAAGATAATTTTAAAATAAATAAAAGATTTAAAAAAAAAAAATTTTTTTTCAGCTGACAGCTCTAATGATGATGATGATGACGACTCTTCTAGCACCTAAAATGCATTATACATGCCCTTGATTATTACATACCATGAACTTAATAAAAGTAAATTAATTATCATAATTCAATAATGAATACAAATAGGTAACCTTTCCAAATTCCAAATATTTATTTATTTTATCAACGTCCTATTTCACCCGGAAATGAGTGATTAATATTTATATAATATTTCTAAATAGGCCTATAATCATATTTCCTTTTTGTAAAGCTGGCGAGGAGTACTTTGGTGATTACTACGAAAACTAAAATTGAAATAATACCCCATCGTGATGTAACTAAGCAAATAAATTTGATATGATTACTTACCTTTAAAAGGTTTTCAATAGGCACAATATATTTTGTGTATTATTGACCCAAATCATGTAATCGTTTTTGATTCGAATTAAGCTCCAATTGCTCGTGCGTTTTTGTCATGGCTCATTAAAGGGGTCTTGGTCAAAATCGCTCTCGAGCAGTAATGCCTTTGTATTCAGTTACAAAACGTTGAGCACACCGGATCGAATATGTTTTGGGATCTAATCGGTGGAATTTTCGAGTTCATTTTCGGACTCTTGTTTCCCAGTAAGTTTATAATTTTTTTCATATTTATTCCATTGGTCAACTATGGATTTCCTTTGTTGTTCAGGTTCCGGCAGTGGAGACGAACCAGATTCTGAGGAGGTGGAAACCACTTGATGGCCTAAAATAATATCATTTTTATACCCTTTTTAATTGCAAAAGTTCCATGTTTTCGCTTTATTAAATCTACGTAAAGTATGTATATTTAACATAAATTGCTTAATCAGCTACTATATCTTCATAGTATTCATTAAAAGTGAGGATTATATACAGTGCGCACTCGTTACACGCATTTCAACAAGGTGTTAAGCTCAAAACAGTTTAAACTGCTTTTTCAGTTCCATTTTCTTCCATTTGGGCAGCTCGTCAAATTCATAAAATGACATTTTAAAAACAGATACAAAATCATCGTGGGTGAGATGAACCTGTAGTAGAAAAAATGCTATACAAAATTTGTTCAAAAATTATTTGTGTTTAGATTAACAGACCTCTCTTTTTAGTGGATTAATTTCTGGAGGCAACATGTCCATCTCCTGGATGAGAACTGTAAGTGGGTACTTTTTGTGATTATCAAAGTCCTTCTGTCTATTGTTAAGGAGCAGAGCTGATCCCTCATTTGGGAGATTACAGGGGCTGGGTACTGCATTTCCCAGATCCTTGCGCATTTTTTCGTAGGATAGAAAGTTCTGCAAAGACATAAATTAGAAAATTTAATAATCATTTTGAATTTAACGAATTGTAAAAAATACATACCTTTCCATAATCGTTCTGCCACGACTCAAAGAATCCCTTAAAGACATTTGGCTCCTGGAACTGCTTCACCACGGCCAATGCCGTAGCCGATCTGCGTCCGAATGGAGCATTCTGTATATAACTTTGGGCAATGGTCGTGTAACGTTCCTGGTTTGGAGCCTGTGATCCCAGCCAGACGTACGTGAGGGTTCCAGTGTCCAGGATATATGTGCAATCCGAACTGAGATCCTGCTGCTCAAAGCCAAGAATCTCCTCGTATCTCAGCGAGCTCTGTTGCCACCAGACCATAAATAGTTGTACAGCAGGTCTCGGTTTGCTGGGAACACTGGTGTTGAGATAACAATTATTGCTGAGAGTGGGTGATATGTTGCCACCATTAGAGCTGCCATTGCACATGCTCCCTGCACCACTGCTGCTGCTGGTACTGCTGGAACACGAGTTCCCATTCCCATTGATCACGAGAGTTTGGTTAAAGTACATTGCCACCGATTGCCAGAACTCCTTGCTTTCCTTGCCTTCGAGGACCAGGGAGCTCTCACCCAGCAGCGCCCCCACTGATTTGGCCATCTCGCGGGCATCTCCCGTGCTACTTTGCCCACACCACACCCAAACATGATTCGTTTTGATGACATAGCAATCTTTGGAGCTGATCGACGACAGTGGTGTCTCTTCCACCGCCTTGGCGTTGTAGCTAGCATCACCGTAAACCTTCAGGAGAAATGTGTCCGCCAAGAAGTCACCTCCGTTTGTGCTCCCATTGTAAAGCATCTCGCTGCGCTGACCCCGCATAATGATCAGTTTTCCCTCGAAGATCTGAAGAAAGTGCGGCGGCTCATCAAACTCATAGAGCTGTACGAACATTCCCGGCTCATTTAGAGCATCGAAGCTGGCCTTGGCGAACTTGTCCGCCCGGGAAATGGATTCCGCTGATGCCTCCGAGCCGTTCCACTGGTAGATAATCGTTTTAATGCCCACCGAGGCCAGATCCGCGGGAACAACTGTGGCGCACTGAAGATAATAAAAAGAATGATTAAGTTTATGGTTATAGAAAGAGTGTAGGACCATCTTTACCTGCACACTGTACTTGACCACGTAGCTGGCATTGGTAGTGAATACCACTGTCTTGGAGATGGGCAGCTCCTGCACCTGATCGCCCCAGATTCGGTAGAGTATTCTTTCACCCCTGCCATCATCAACGAGCTGTGTATCCGCAGCCATTTTAGGGCGTTCACATAAGGAATGGGCATCCAGCTTCCCGAACTTCGTGGAGACTGGCTTGTGACCCCTAGTGTTCTCCTGCCAAACGTTCAACCAGTTGGCAAAGAGTCGCTTAAACTCCACCGGTTCGTGGCCCTCCAAAACACGCACTACCAGGGTATTATCCGGATATTTCTTCTTTTTCACAAAAGCTCGCCCATTTCCCATCGCAGAAAGGGCATCTGCTTGAGGTGCTTGAGCTCCAACCCACAGCCAAATGCTCTGACCGTAATTATCCAGCAGATAAACTCCATGGGCATCGCTCAGATCATCCTTTGCCGGCATGCCCACATCCAACTGATCCAGGTGTAATCTGCCGCGTTGATTGCATTTGTAGATTCGGAATTTATTGCTGTTGTAGTCGGCGTATTCGCTGACCAACTGACTGGCCTGGCAGACCATCCTTTTCTTGAGCGGCAGCAGGGAGTTCCACAGCTCCTTATTCTCCTGGGACATGGCCTGTTCGTAGCCATCATCTACTATGGTGATGGGAGATCCGCTGCAATGCTTTTGAACCCAGGCGAGGGCACTTCGTCTCTCGATTCCCGAACTGGAGCGACCAATCCACACGAAGGTCAGGATATCCGTTTGCAGTACCATTATGTAATCCGAGTTGAAGTGAGACCATTCAATGGTGGCCAGCTCAATGGATCGCAGCCACTTGCGGGCGTGCAGTTGAAAGAGGCGCGGCCTCTTGGGGGCGTTTATCAGGGCTCCCGAGCGAACACTGTAAATGAAACTAGGTTATTATCATTCTAATCTGAGTGATATCAGTTACTGACTCGTAGCCCATCTTGAAATAAGACAGAAACCTCGCACTCTCCAGATTCTGCGTCTCGCGATATATAGAAGATACATTTCCCAGATACGAGTCCAGCTCCTGGATTTTGTGCACCACATTGGAGCGGTTCTGTTCGCTGACATTCTTGCCCAACCAGTAGTGGATATATCTCTCGAGATTCACGTTGGGCTTCTGTTCGCGTGTCTATAAGCATGGAATTTAAATTAATAACTTAGTTTTGTAAATTAATTAAACTACCTACGATGGTTTCATGATTGGCATAATGTCCGGACAAACTCGCTGCATAGATAATGTAAGCGCAATTATCGTAGAAGGTTCCATACTGCGATCGGGGAACGGCCTCCAGACGATCTTCGTCAATCTTCCATAGGGCAAAGGTTATCGCATTTTTTGCCACCTTACGGAATGTGGCATCTACTTTGAGATCGGGAATGGTGTTGGGACGGACCTCCTGAAATTATTTAATAGTTCTCAGTTTAGCTTTAGCGAAATATATATTATTAAAAATGTTGCGTTTTAAAAAATAACTTGTAATAACCTTTTTATAATAACCACATTAATACATACGGTTTTTTTTAAATCAAGATGATGAAGATATAAGATTTAATATTCCAATCGAGATTTTATTTTTGGATTTGTTATATTAAATTTCAAGGATAAACCAACTTTAAATATCTTTTTCCTAATTTTAGCAAAGGTATGTTATTGGGATCTTAATTCGCTTTTACAAAGCTAAATACAAATATAGAAAATTTAAAATCATAATGAAGTTCATATCTTTCTATGGGAGTTGAAGAATTCAAGTTGAAAGCACGTAGCGTAACTCAAATTAATCGAATGATTCAGGTTGTATTAAATGAAATTTCATCTGCAATTACCATTCTGAACTCCCAATTTCACTGCAAGATGACAATGTCACTAGCAGGTTGTTCGAACAGCATTTGTCACATCATTAAACGCCTTTCAAACTGCCAATTGTTACTGTCATGAGACACTTTTTAAAGCCCAAGGATAAACACAAAAATTGAATTTCTATTGGCTAAGAAAAATGAAACCGAAACCCGTCCGGAGAAGTGCTCTGCATCGCAAGTGATAGTGAAAACTAAAAGTGAACAGTGGCGGGCGTGAACCACATCCAACCACATCGGTGGTGCAGCCAGTTTTTGTTGCCTGCTGTCGAACATTATGCTTTTATTTATTTGTGGAACGCAGCAAGGTGGAAAGTGGTTGCCAACCATTGGGTGCATATATACATATATATGAACTTACTGCATCTTCATCTCGATCTTGGCTAACGGTTTGGGGTCATTAGGCTGCCTTTGGCTAATTAATACTTTGACTTTGAAGCCATTTCATTTGGAGGCTGTGATTACACCGGCGTGCTCAGTGACCAAAAACAAGTTCATGCTTCGCCTGGCAACATAAGTTACTCCCACAAAATGACATTTCATGGAAATCACAATCATAATGACTGGCTTTTTCTGGTCCTGCTCATAAATAAGCAATGCATAAAATGCTCCGCACACATAACATGAAAGCATTTTAATTGTCGCCTGCAAATGGCGAAATAACTCGGATTACTTTGACTGGGGTTGGGTTAACCAGGTTTTCCAGCTCCCTGGCTCTATGATTGATTGATCTTCACTGCTGACAGTTAAACTACATTTGTCATGGTCTAGCAAAACAAAAAAAAACGGGCACAAGTAAAATTTCTTTTGACAACCGCAAAGATATATATATATATATATATAAAATTATAACTATATTTTTTGTCATCTTTTGTTTTTATAGTTGATGGCCCCTAAGAGACTTTCACAGCCGCCAATTAGCGACATCAATCTACGCGAAAGCTGATAGATGAAATGTTCTCAATAGAATGTCGAAAATAAATTAAGATACCCATATATCTTGAGTGAAGCTTGGCGCGAAAATCAATCGACAGCTATTGTTGTAAATTTGTACTTTCTTCGGGGTAAAGCTATTAAGTTGATGGATGAAGCTGAAAAGTTTAATTGCTGGCCATAGATTGCTTTAAATGTCAGTACAAATTTGGAGCAAAGTTTATTTTACTTCTGAAGTAAAAGCAAATTTGGAAACTTTTCTAAAAGTAAGCCGTTTTATCAAGACCTATAAATAATGAAGGCTTAATTATCATTTACAGAAAGCTGTTAGTTCATTTATAGAAACGTTGGAGATTTGGAATACGTCTAAGTCAAATAAACCAATTTATTAGTATACAAAGAATTTTTCCTTATACTTTTTTGCCAGGATAACTTCCTTAAATATTTGATAAAAACTCAATTTTTTAGGCCCTTTCTGATTATTAGTTTCCAAAATTTTTGATGAATTCCATTTGAACTAAATTCGCATATCATCTGAATGAATTTTTTATTCCCTAAGAAAAAATATTCAATAAACATT